TACAACCAGGTTACAGCAACCCATACCTGACATTTTTGGCAATCTCAACAGTGGTCAAAGTTGCTAGACTGCCATCCTGGTTTCACATCACTCAGGCTAAATGGTGCCCTTCCAGCCCTAGATCTCACCATCCTTTTGCCTATGCATCTCTGCCTTACCGAGGCCCTAAAGCCACAACTCTCAGGCTGTCATGTTTTGTTATCCAATTTGGTTTCTAATTTCTTATTCTTTTTACAGTAGGACTCTTAACAGTATTTCCTAAAGACTCCAATGTTATGCATACCAGAGACAAGTTTTACCCACCTACCCTCTTAACTTTTACCCTTTCAGATGGAGGAGTAATTACCTCTCATAACTTCACTCCTCCTAACCCCACACTTATTTTTCAGAATTCTACCTCACCGTGACAATGATCCTACCTCAACGTGGTCTTGATATGACATATCTAAATCAAAGCACCTTTCCTTCTACCTCACCTGGGTAGAATATGACAGTGCCATGCCTCCTCATAACATCTTGTCTCTTTGTTTTTCCAGTCTAACATACGTGCATTCACCAGTGAAGTTGTCCTGGCTAAAACACCTGGCACCAGCTTCTACCTGGGCATCAACCGTCATCCCATCAACTCCCCTAGACCCAGTACAGCGCCCTCTTTCAGCAGGAAGCAGTTAAAGAAAGAAATCTTCACCCCTTTTCATAATAATAATAATAATAATAATAATAAGACTGGATATGAAAGAGTTTTGGTCCAGACAGGACACTGTAGCTGGTAAAACCTCAGGTTGAGCCGAGGAGTTCCGTCTCCCCCACCCCTAGGAATTTACCTATGGCACCAAAAGAATACCAATGGGCTACCTGTGCATCATTAATGCCCCTCAGGCTCCACCCCAAACCTAAGCTACATGTATGCCCCCACTCCACGTGTTCCATGGAGAGATCGCCGACCCCAGGGGGAGATGCCACATCCCAGGGGATCGGGGCTGTCTCTCCCTGCATTCTCAAAAAAAAGGTCATTTATATTTCATACTTCTTTTTAGCCACCGCCGGTCCCCCACAGTTCTATCAGTGGGGTTCCAGGCATGTGCTGCCATGCTCAGTTCCCAAAGACTGGTGGAGTCAGAGGCAGTAATCCAGGTAAGTGCATGTCTCAGTGTGTCCTTTTAGTTGTTGTTGTTCTTTTTATCTTTGAGGCAAGGTCTCACTATGTAATTCAGGCAGGCCTCCAACTCAGCAGTCCTACCACGCCTGGTTTGTCCTCTTGAATTGAATTCCCACTGACTTTGTTCATTTTCCTAGGCCTCACTCAAATGCCATCCCCTCTAGGAAGTCTGTCCTACCCTTCCTCAGGATGAAATTAACTCATTCTATCATAGGACAAGTATTTATTAAAAACTTTTTATAGGCATGGACTGTGTTAGACAAAAGGAGAAAAGGCCCCATTTCTTGCTACCAGAGGGCTCAGCCAAGTGGGGAAGATCAGACAATGAAGCCAGCCCTTAAATGATAGTTAGGCAAAGGGGAGTGCTGCCACACAGAGGGGAGTGAGGACCTAGATGCCCACAATCCAACCAGGGAGGTCAGAAATTCTTCCAAGATGAGAGAATAAAGCTGAGATTGAAAACTGAGTAGTACTTAGCCAGAGACGTGGGGGAAAGCATTCTAACCAAAGCATGGACTCTGGCCAGCCCCAGTGGTGAGGACCTGATCTTTCACTCTATGGTTGGGGAGAGGCTCTCTGTCGGCTCAGAGAGCGCTTATTGTATACCGGAGTTGTTGGTCTGTTTCCAACCACTGAAGCCAGATTCCAAGCTTTCTGGGAGCAGATCCTAGCCAGTCCACTTCTGGTGCTCTGCCTGGTGTTGCCTAAGTCATATTTAGTTCTGTGACCCTTGCTGCTCTTGTAATCTCCGGGGCCTGGGGAGGGGGGGGTGGGAGTTGGGCTGTAGTACACTTCTGGGAAATAAATCTGAGGAGGAGATTCCATGATCCTGTGACAGTAGGATCCCTTTACTGTGACGGCATTGCTCCCCAGAATAGAAGAAAGCCAGGCTTTCTTGCCAGAAAAAGAAACATTCATTTCACACCATCTTTTCAGAAACAGCTCAGGAGAAATGCAGCCCTGGCAGCTGCTCCAACTCCATTCTCTCCCCACTTCTCCCCAGAAGCACATCCAACTCTGCCCAGCCCTGGAATCCTGTTCTGGCTCCCTGCTTGCTTGGTCCAAATCAGGCCCTTGGGTAAAAGCCTGGTTGATTCAGTTTTAGCTCTCTGTGGGTGGATAGAGATTCTCACACTGTTGTTACCGGAAAGGCTCTTATAGATCATCTGGTTCCATGGTTCCCTCTTTCTCCCAGCCACCAAGAAAGAAAAACCAAGACTACCAGAGACATGCAACTTTCCTCAAGGTCACAAAACAATCCAGAAGCAGAGTCAGGGCATGAACCCATGTCTTCCCTCTCCTGGGCTAAAGCTTTTCCATAAACTGCCCTGTGGAGGTGGGTTGTCTTAGCAACAGTTCTTTGGGTGGGAGGGCAAGTTGCTACTATTCCCCATTCCCTCAGATCCCAAGGTCTGGCTCTTTACTCAAACTCTAATTGGAGGAGTGAAGCAGGAGGGAGGATGGCAAGAGCCGGGCTGACCTTGGCCTCCAGAAGAGCCCTGTCCTTTCCCTATAAGGACAGCAGGGAGATGGGGACAGTCCTTAGAGGTAGACCAGTCTTGCCTCCACTGACTCCAAGGGAAATCCCCTGTCCCAGCCCTTGTCCTTCTTGGGTGCCACCTGTGGGCAAGGAAGAGTGCTTAAAGAGACCAGTGACATCCTAGGAAGGAGCAAAGAATGGGACAGGAATCCTCTCCTTGCTCTACATGGGCAGTCTTAGGTCCTAGTAAGATGGGTCATGAAGGTCGGACATGGTGACATGTGTATAATCCTAGGCACCTACAGACTGAGGCAGGAGGATTGCTGCAAGTTTGAGTCCAGCCTGGGCTACAAAATGAGTTCAAGGCCAGCCTGAACTGCATAATGAAATCTTGTCTCAAAAAGACAGAAAAAAAAAAAAAAAAAAAAAGATGGGTCAAAAATACAAACACGGTCCTAGGATTTAGCTCAATGGCACAGCATCTGCCTGGCAAGCATGAGGTTCTGAGTTCAATTCCCAGTACCACCCCCCAAAGAGAATATAGAGACAGCTGGACATGGTAGTATATCTGTAATTCCAGCCCTCAGAAGGCTGAGGCAAAGGGATCTCAAGTTTGAGGCCAAGCAGGACTAGATGGCAAGACTGTTTAAAAAAAAAATACAGTACAGACAGACAAAATAAGTTAAATGTACTCCCTTAAGGTTTATAAATGAGTAACAGCCACCAAGACTGGAAAGTGAGAACCAGAGCGATTAGGCATGGTTCCAGATCCCTGTGTGAATTAAGGTAAGCTCTCAAACATCTGCGAGTGTGTTTCTTCTGTAAGACAGAAGAAATGATGACCACTTTGCTCATTTCAGTGACATAAAATGTGCTTTGCCTGGCACAAAGGAGATATCAACCTAAAGATGTAAAGCATGGTCAGATAATTCGGATTCAAATCCTGACTTTGCTTTGTACTAAGTACATGACTGTGGGCAATTACTAAACCTCTCTGTGCCTCAGTTTCTTCCTTTGTAGTATCACTACTCTAACAAGACTGCTATATTAAGAGAGTATCATGTAAGGTGCTCAGTAAGATGCCTGGCAGATGTGCTTAGGTAAAAGTTCATTTCCAAAGAGCAGACTGTAAGCTCTGAGAATCAGCCCCTCTCCAACGGGTACAGTCACAGCCCTGCTCTGGGGCATTCAGCCTTTGCCTTCAACCTTTAAGGCCAAGTGCACACTTGGCATTCAAGTCCTGCCCTCAGGGAGTCTTCCCTGACCATTTGACCTTGGGGCCTCTCCTATCAGGGGCTGGGAGCCTGGGCTGGTCTAGGTGCTTCCAAAAGTCAGCTCCTGCCCTTGTTCCTTCACAGGTCAGGTTGGCAGAGCTAGGCACACAGTGGGGCTCTAAGAAGACTTATTTGCTGACAATATCAATGTAAGCTCCTGGTCCTGGATCAGAGGGCAGCTGGCAACTCCTTGGTTTGTCAGAATTGGCTGCAAAATGATGACAGGTGTAAGTCACCCCCTTCCCTGGAACCAGGGCCCTAGGGAGCCTGCTCAGCTGTCCATTTGGCTCTGAATCTAGCTCAGCAACTCGCAGGCAACCTGAAAGGTGTTGTGCAAGGAAAAGAGTGGGTGAAGGAGCCACAAAGACTGACCTTTCCCAGTTCTTCTACAGGGCTGTAACTTTTAAGTATTTTTAAGTGGAATGTGTGTGTGTGAGAGAGAGAGAGAGAGAGAGAGAGAGAGAGAGAGAGACAGAGACAGACAGACAGACATAGACAGAGGCAGAGACCGAGAGATGGAGAGTGTTGGATGTTGAAAAAGAGAGGTTTCCAGCACTCTGCAGTTTTTGGTACACATGCCACCACTCCAGTCTCTTCTGTGCTGAATGCTATAATGAACATTGGACCTCACAGGAAGCAAACACTTTGCCAGTGTGCAGAAGGAGGAAAACCACCACCACTGATTGCCTTATAGTAATTGGGGCTGGAGAAATAGGTAGCCCCTATTTGGGCTGAGCTAGGTTCTCAGAACTTCCCTGCCCTTACGTGCCCTCTCCAATTATTTAGCAAAAAAAAACCCAAAAAACAAACAAAAAACCTTTCAGAAACCTGTGCTGCCAGGCGTGGTGGCGCACACCTGTGATTCCAGCACCTGAGACTCTGAGGCTGGAGGATCACCGAGAGTTCAAAGCCAACTTGAACTATCCAGTGAGACAATGTCTTAAAAAAAAAAAAATCCAAAACCTGTGCCTCCTATCGCCGGCCCTTGGGGACTCATCAATATTCCACGAATTAGGCGGAGAGTTTTTAACTCCTTCCTCTCCAGCCTAACTCCGGGCCCCGCCTCCAGCATGCAGCCCTTACTCACCAGCTCCAGCCTCAGGGCCACGATCTTGTCCCCTAGGCCTGGGCCGTGCACACCCGGGAGAAGCAGGGCGCCGGAGGTTCCGAGCTCCCAGTCTCCTCGAAGCCCACGGAGCAGCCCCTCGGGGGTCTTCCTGCCAACCTTGCCCTCCACGTCTCGCAGATCAGGCGTCGGGGGCTCCGCGGGCCCCTCCATGCGGGTCCACGCCGGACAGGACTAGACAGGCACGGCGCCGGGGTCCCGCTTTGGGCCCTGCGTTCCCGGCGGCTCGGGCGCTGCACCGGCGGGGCGGAGGCGGGCGCCGTAAGGCTCAGAAAAGCCACGCAGAGGGAGGGCAGAGAAATACTCCAGTGCTGCGCACACCACCCCTGGCCTGGGCTGCCTGGGGTTGGCTTTCCTGGATTCAGAGCTGAGGGAGCAGTGCGGGGAGCTCAGCGCCTCCCCCCCAGCCTGACACGGAGTCTGGCCAGGCACACAGCAGGCGTCCAATAAGAGCCTGGCGAAGGAAGAAGACTCAGTTGCCTAAAACTCTGACTCAGAGATATCAGAGTTTTAGGAACAGTGGCAACAGAACTGCAGAGGATTTAGAAAGCTTCTGGAGTAGAAGAGCTGAGACTGAAACAGTGGCTAGAATTTAGCAAACCGTTCAGACGCACACCTCCCTAAGGCACACCTAAGGCACAGGAAGTGAGAGCGACCAGAGTTAAAGCCAGAGGAGTCCAGAGGTTCTGTACCTTACATGAGCTTACAAGCAAGTCGCTTCCCACGCGGGTCTGTGGGGAATGAATCATTTGGAACGCAGGTTCAGCTGGCACAGCGACTCACGCCAGTACCTATGCTGGGGCTGAGGCAGGAAGATCAGGAATTCAGGACCAGCTTGGGAAATACAGCAAGACAGGTTCTGATTCTGAAAATTTGGGCTGGGGCCTTCGGTTGCTTTTCTTTTTTGTTTGTTGTTGTTTTTGAGACAGGGTCTAGCCAGCCACTCTGTGTAATTCAAGCTGTCCTTAACTATACAGCAGAGGGTGGCCTCAAATTTGCAGCCATCCTCCTGCCTCAGTCCAAATGCTGGGATCACCAGTGTGTGTCACCACATCTGGACTCATTCTCCCTTTTTTTCCTCTTCTTTTTTTCTCCTTTTTGAGACAAGGTCTTTTTTTTTTTTTTTTTTTTGGTCTTTTTCCTTTTTATCGGCACCAGAGATCGAACTCACGACTGCCTGCTTGCAAGTCAGGTGCTTATGCCGCTGAGCTAAATCCCCAGCCCCGAGACAAGGTCTTTGCTATGCAGTTCAGCTGGCCTTGAGCTCATTTTGCAGCCCAGGCTGGTCTTGAACTCAAAAGGATCCTCCTGCCTCAGCCTTCCGAGTGCTGGGATTACAAGTGTGTGCACCATGCCTGGCTTCATTCTCCATTTCTAACAAGCTCAGAGGTGATGGTCATGCTGCTGGTTTGGAGGCCACAGTTTGAGTAATAATGTTGTAGAATATGGTTTTAAAGTATTTGGACTTAACAGTAAAAAAGAAAGATTTTGGACTTTACAGGTATGAAAACTTTGTTTTGCTTTTTGTCCAATTGTAGCCAGTGGTTATAGAAGAATTTACATAGAAAGATAATTAGCTTTACTCTTTCATACCTCTAGGGCTTATTTCCCAAAGGCAACTAGTTTTAGTCATAATTCTGGGTAATAGATTTCTGCCACTACTGCTTTATTTATTCATTTATTTGTTTAGGGACTTTTGAGACAGAGTTTCACTAGGTAATTCAGGCTGGCCTAGAAATCCCTATGTAGCTAGCCCACTTTGAACCTCCAACAATCTTCCTGCTTCAGTCTCCCAAGTGCTGGAATTACAAGTATGTATCACCACGCTCGGCCACACCATGGGAAGTTTTAAATCAAGGACTGACAAAACATTTGCTGTTTTGAAAAATCACTGTGGATTGTTCAGGGAAAGAATTGAAACAGTCAGACCCTGGAGTGAAGGAAACTAGTTGCATGACAAAAAACAAACCTGGACCAGGGGCTCATTGTGAAGCTGTAGAAGAATTAGACCAGGATGAGCAGCTCTTTAGGAGGTAAAGCTGACAGGAATAGGTGACTGCTTACATTCATTTATTAAGTATGGCACACAATAATTATTTGTTCAAGCAACAAATGCGAGTGGCACACACCTATAATTCCAGCACTCAGGAGGCTGAGGCAGGATGATCCCTAAGAGTCTGAGGCCAGCCTTAACTGCAGATACTTTGTTTCAAAAATGAAACAAAACAAAAAACACAGTAACAATGAAACCCCAAACCAAGACCCTAGGTTCAATTCCCAGTACAGGAAAAACAAAAAAATGCTTGCTCTGGTTGGCTACTAAACCTATTTCTTTCTTTCTTTTTTTTTTTTGTCTTTTTCGTTTTATCAGTACCAGGGATCAAACTCACAACTGCCTGCTTGTAAGGCAGGCGCTTATGCTGCTGAGCTAAATCCCCAGCTCCAAGTAAATCTAAAACTCTAGGGACAAAAGCTTGTCATCTGTGCTTCAGCAAGTTCTACAAGGAATTCAGATGCAAACTAAAGTTTGAGAACTGCATGCTAAGCTAACTGATTGTGCATCTTATTTAAACTCCACAAATCCCTCAGCCCCAACCTGCGCAGTCGAACAGAGGCATGGTCTCCTGTCTTTCTTCCATCATGGCTGTCAGCCACCTAGAGATCAGAACACACTATTCCTTACCCTGCAACTTTGCCAGCTATCTGTGGTGCCGAAGGCACCCACTAGCCCCACTAGTTCAACTGCGAGAACAGTCCCTCACCGCCACCACCACAGTAATGGGGAATTGGACACAGCGCTTCACACTCTACCACTGAGCTACATGGCAATCTTCTGCCCTCTTTTTAAATTTTGAGACAGGGTCTCAGAACATTTGCCAGGCTAGTACCACACTTGGGATCCTCTGATCTCAGCCTTCTGAGTAGCTAGAGATACAAGTTTGTACTATTATGCTCACGAATGCTATCTCTGCATAACAATGTTCCTTTTTAAAGCTATATGGGGGCTGGGGATTTAGTTCAGCAGCATAAGCGCCTGCCTTGCAAGTGTGTAGTTGTGAGTTTGATCCCTGGTACTGATAAAAACAAAAAAGACAAAATAAATAAATAAAGCTATATGGATTTCTTTTTTTTTTTTTTTTTTTTTTTTTGGTACTGGGGTTTGAACTCATGACTTCACGCCTGCCAGGCATGTGCTTATGCCGCTGAGCTATATCCCCAGCATATGTGGATTTCTTAAAGTTCTGTTTGATGGAGGAGGAGGAAATTGTAAATGGAAAAAGAAAGATCTTGTAGTCATCAGTTTTCTGCGTGCTATTAATAAACTCTTTAAGTAACCTTAAAAAAAATAATCCACAACTTTGGGGTGTTAATAATATAGGCAGCTAAGTCAGATAGTATTATAGGCAACCAGATAGGGCTGGGCCCTCGAAAGAACCAGTGCAGGAAGACAAGATACCTTGCCACTGTTGGGGGAGACAGGCCCCTCCAATGTGGGCCAGACCTCAAGACAAAAGATGAAACAAATGTACTCACATATTTCCCAAGGATAACCATTAGGATTATATATATATCCCCCCCCCGCCCCGCCCCCAGCTTTGGTACCAGGGATTGAACTCAGGCTCTCAAGCTTGTCAAGCGGGCACTAGGGATTGATATTCTAAATAGGTATTCAGATCACCTTGAGGAAGCCAGGATGAGCCACTAATGCAATCTCTACAGAAAAAATCCCTGTTCTTTATTAAGGCCAGCTTGCTATGTGGCTGGCTTCCCCATTTGATCCTGATTTAATCAACATTACCTCAGCAATTATGCTCTTAATTTTATTAGTTGACCACAGTTCTGTCCCACTTCATGCCCACTTTTGATTTCCCATTTTCCCCCACACTGGACCTGCCTCACCTTGTGGTTTTGTTCTGTAAAATTCCTAGAAAAGACAGGGTCCTTGGCAACTCACCTGGGATGCCTTCTGAGTCTCGGACAAAGGTTTTTTTTTTCTCCAATAAATATATTTTTCTCCATTGTTTCTGAAATTCATTCTTTCATTTTAGAGAACACAGAGGCTGGGGATATAGCTCAGTGGTACGGCACCTGCCTGGCAAGCACAAAGTTGTGATCCCAATTCTTGGTACCAAAAAAAAAAAAAAAAAAAAAAAATAGAGAACACGAACTCATACTGGACATCTAATAGGTTGGAAATTTCTTTCCCCTATATCACTAGGAAGGAGGTAGCTCAGTGGTAGGTGCATACATTAGGCCCTGGATTCTGATTCCCAGCAATGCCAACCAAACAAAATAAACTTCATGACTGACTCGTTAAGTATTAAGAACCAAATCTGAAATCAGCCCTCCAAAGCTTCAATCCCAGCTCTCCCAGGTTCATGACCTTTTCTTTTTTCTTTCTTTCTGTCTTTTTGAAATAGGCTCTCACCTTGCAGTTCAGGCTGGCCTTGACCTCATTTTGTAGACCAAGATGGTATCAAATTTGCAATGATCCTTCTGCCTCAACCTCCAAATGCTAGGATTGTAGGAGTGTATCGCCACACCCAGCTTCGTGACTTTTTCTTTATCTAAAATTAGGATAATACTGTGCGTGAACTATGCCATTAACATAGACTGCATGTTTGTCTTTCTACAATGTTAGAATTTATTGTATAACAAGTTATGCCAAATGTTAGCAACCATATGAAAAGTAACCATAGTCTCTTTTCTTCCAATTTTTGTGTTTTGTTTTTGGGGTCTATACTGATCAGGCTGAGATCAAACTCAGTCTTCTCCTGACTCAGCCTCTTGGATGCCAGAATCATAGCAGGCACTGCCTCAGTCCAATCTTAATTACTAACACCTGTAGTGCTCATCACAGCACAATAATATATAGGTTACAAAATGGCTGAGAGGTTAACAATGGTCATAGCATTGAGAGGCAGGAATGAAAGCAGAAAGCCCACAGAGATGGCAACAGTCACCAGAGGTGACTAGGTAAGATGCAGACCCCCATAGGCTAGGTACTGAGATGCAGACCCCTATAGTCTAGGTACTGAGCTTGTTGAGAGCAGTGAATCTGTTGGCAGTTCAAGGGCCACATTAAGCAGGATGGTTAAACTGAGCTGAAACCTCAACAACTGTTGACCTTGTAACATATTCACCAAGTGGCCTGATAGGATCGGAGTTGAACTACTATGTGAGTTTAAACTCAGGATGATCCTTTTGCCTCAGTGCTGGAATTATAGGTTTGTGCCACCACACTGGGTTTAGGTACCCTGCCTTTTACACGATTCAGGTGAGGCTGGTGGCCTAGTGTTTATAGTAAGATCACAGGCTCATCTGTCCCTGTGCCACTGATTTAATTTGGTAACTTTGAGATAATTGTTGGTTTTTGTTTTGCTTTGCTTTGTTTTGTTTTTTTGAGACAGGGTCTTAGGCTATGTAGTCTAAGCAAACCTTAAACTCACTATGTAACCCAGGCTTGCCTGGAACTCACAGTGATCCTCCTGCCTCAGCCTCCTAAATGCTGGGATTACAGGTTTATGCCACCATGCCGAGCTCAGTAGTTGTGTTTATTATTAGCACAGTCGATTTATTTATCAGTTTGTGCATTCTGATTTTGCTGTGAAGTTTGACACTGTCCTCTTCAGCACGTCGGTGTACTCAACATCTGGTGGCTATTTCCACTGATGAGCTACAAATCATTCTACTTTAGCACTTGCACTCAAAATGGAGCAATGCTGTCTTTCAAACCGATCACAGAGAGCAAGGCAGAGCTTGGCCTGACTGCCACAAGTTGCGCCGACCTCATGGGTTGTTGTGGAATCGGATGTTTTAATGTAAGTTAAATGCTCAGGACAGCAGGACCAGGTTTTCAATCCCCTTCCCTTCAAGGGCTGTGTGTGCCTTGGGATCGAACCGCACGATCCAGGGGAGATTGCCACGCTCAGGCTTTTAGCTTTCCGGACACCCACCTAGACTGTGTTAGGGTTCAGGGTGGCAGGTCCCTGCCTCAAGTCCGCCTGGTTTTCTGCAGTGCCGCCCGAAGCCCCGCCTGCCGCCCTCTCACCCCCGTGGCGGCGGAAGCGGGGGGGCGGGGCCGGCTGTTGGGGCGGGGCCGCGCGCGGCATGGAGGAGGCGGAGGCCACCGCGCGCGGGGCTGAGCTGTGCGGGCCCGAGAGGCACCCACGCGGGGCCGGAGGCTCCTGAACCGTGAGTGTGTCTGCGCGGGGGTCCGGAAGGTCGGACTCGGCCGCGCCAAGTCTCCCCAGCCTTCTAGCAGCCCTGATCACTGGGAGGAGGAGGAGAAGGAAGAGAGGGCAGATAGGAAGGGGCAAGGGAGGGGACTGGGATAGGACTGATCGCTGTTCTTTGCTGCCTCTGGCACTGGTAGGGTCTGGGACTTGGTCCTTTTAGGGCCAATGAAGCTTGAGAGCCTGTTATTTCATTTCCACTCCTGGATTCCTGGGCATTCCTGATTCAGCTGGTGCTCCTAGCCCTAGGGAATTTCCAGATGACCCAATCTCCTGAAGCTTGAGCCTCTTGTCCCAAGTCACACAGGATGTTTGCAGGGAAAAGTTGTTGGGAGGTTCTCCCTTATGTCTTCAGAAGGCATCAGAGTTTTGGGAGGAGCAGCTTACGCCGCGTGATACTCTGGTCCCCTCAGATTCGTGAAATCATGGACTGGCCAGGACAGTGGTGACACCTCTCAACTGGCATGGACAACTGGAAGCCCAGCCCTCTCATCAAGCCCTTTGGGGCTAGGAAGAAGCGGAGCTGGTATCTTACCTGGAAGTATAAACTGACAAACCAACGGGCCCTGAGGAGATTCTGTCAGGTATAGAGGTGCCCTAGTAGCTCATCTCAGCGTTCCCTAGTCTTGGCTGTGGGCTGCTGTGGGACCCACGTTGGTCACCCCCAAGGAAAAAGAGATAGCAGGTTCCTAGAAGGGAATCCCTTGGGTGTCTTGTGCCTCCCTTCTACTGATCTAGACCCAGAGTTCTGGAATCAGAACCCAAGTCCAGTCTCCTAGGCTTCTGACAGAAACCTCAAGACTGGTCAGGAAGCCTGTGCCAGGGACTCACACCTGTCAGGCAGTTAGGCTAGGCCACACCTCTTCTCGTCTTCAGCTTAGCTCTCTGAGCTTAGCTGCATCTGTAGGAACTGTGGAGGGGACAAAGGAAATCAAGGCCTCAAATGGCAAAATACAGGACCTCTCGGTAGGGAGGGCATTGATGAAGGGAAAAGGGTGAGGAGTCCCCTTGGATCAGGCAACAGTGAAAGTAAGCTCTAGTCTAGGGACAGACATAGATGAGACAGATCTCTGGTCTCCCTGTGTCCTTACGATAGCCAGGGATGTCCTAAAAGGAGGTCTTGATAATTGGCCGTGGTGTATTTCAGTTATCCCCAACTCTCCCTTCAGATAGGGGCTCTGCTTTTCCTGCTGGTAACTGTCGTTGTCAACATCAAGTTGATCCTGGATACCCGTCGAGCAATCATTGAAGCCAATGAAGATCTGGAGCTGGAACAAGACTATGGTGGGGGCAGCTGTGGATAGTGTAGGCGGGACCCCTGGGATCTCATGATAAGAGTGGCAGGTGGATCCCTGAGGATATGACTCTGCTGGGGAGACTATATCTTGACCTGTTGCACCCCACAGATGAGGCCCTGGATCACCTGGAGCCCCAGAAGCACAGAGGCACTGGTCCCCGGCGGGTATTGGATGTGGAGGTGTATTCAAGCCGCAGCAAAGTGTATGTAGCAGTGGATGGCACCACGGTAAGTAGGCTGGGGATGCAATTTACAGCCTGTGGGCTTCCCTGTCTAAGTAGGGATTATAATCTGCCACTTTCTAGTAGTGTGACTTTGAAGCCCTTGGTTCCTCTGGGACTAATGACTTCCACTTGTCAGGATTTGAGTTTTTTGTGTTTTGAGACAGAGTTTCACTTTGCAGTTCAGGCTGGACTTGAACTCCCTATGTAGCCCAGGCTGGCCTCAAACTTGCAACAATCCTCCTGCTTCAGCCTCCTGAATGCTAGGATTACAGGCATGAACCATCATGCCTGGCCACTTGTCAGGATTAAGTGAAAAAGTCTATGAAATATCTTGCATGTAGTGAAATTTCAAAAATGATAATTAGAAAGTCGGGTGTGTTGGCACATGCCTATAATCCCTGTCCAGTCCATGATTTCAAGAATCTGAGGGGACCAGAGTATCACACGGAGTAAGAGAGCCTGAAGTAGGCGGATTGTTATGAGTTGAAGACCATCTTGGGTTACAAAGTAAGTTCAAGGCCAGCCTGAAGTGCATAGTGAGACCCTGTCTCAAAGACTAAGCAACACAAAACAAAACAAAAACAAAAAATGATGGGAATTTAGCTCAGTGGTAGATCATTTGCCTAGCAAGCATGATGTTGTCCTGAGCTTAGTCCTCAGCATCAAAAAAAAAAAAAAAAAAGAAAGAAAGAAAAAGAAATTAGTTAATTTACTGACTTATAATCACTCTCTGGTCCCTTCTCTGACCTTAGCTTTGGGTTCAGCACTGGGGATCTGTTGGACCTGTCTTACTTGGAAGGCTTCAATGAATAGAAGGCTGTGTTTTCTCCAGGATGTGACTGGCTCTAGGAGCCATTGAAGTGAGGGTTGTAGGAGGCTTCCTGAAAGAAATGGTCTTTAAGCTACATTGGAAGAGAACTGTGAACAGTGACATGGGTGGGAGAGAAAGTTTTCTTTGGTACTGGGGATTGAACTCACAACCTCATACTTGCCAGGCAGGGACTTACATCGCTAAGCTAAATCTCCAGTCCTTGGGAGGGAAAGTTTTATCCAACTGGAGTTTTAAATGCTCTTTAGACAGAGATAGACCTTGAATACTAGAGTGAAAAGTTGGACTTTTTTTCTGCCATTGCATAGGTGCTGGAGGATGAGGCCCGGGAACAGGGCCGAGGCATCCATGTCATTGTCCTCAACCAGGCTACGGTAAGTTTCCCAGGGTGGGGGACCCAGAGAACTGAAGCTGAGCTCTCAGGGACTGGACTCAGCTTTCAGGGACTCTAGCTCCTGAGAGCTGTGTCTTCCTGTAGGGCCATGTGATGGCAAAGCGTGTGTTTGACACCTACTCACCTCACGAGGATGAGGCCATGGTGCTGTTCCTCAACATGGTGGCTCCTGGCCGAGTGCTCATCTGTACTGTCAAGGTCAGTGGTTGTGCCCCGGGCTGTTCCCTGCCCTGCATCATCGATCCTGTGCATGGAAAGTGGTCTCATTGGAGACAGATACCTTTCCTAGGGGTTCTTTCGGGATAGAGCCTTTAAAGAAAGATGACTCCAGTTCCAGCCTTGGTATCTTTGTTAGTTTAGTAAAATAGTGATAGAGCACTTACCCACTATGCACTGAGTACTGCTCTGGTGCCAAAGATTCAGTGGGAAGTAGAATCTCGAACCCAGAAAAGCTTGTATCATAGCAGGGTGAGATTAATGAAAACCAGCCAGATAAATAGCAAGAGACAGAACAATGGGGTTGTGTTTCAGAGAGGGAAGACCTCTGTCAGGAGAATGTCAGAGCAAGAACCTTCTAGGTAGAAAACATGCTAAGGGAAAAAGCCCTGAAGTTGGGAGATGCCTGATGGACTTGGAGGACAAGAAAGCAGAGTAAGAGAAGAGGGGAGAGTGGTGGAAAAGATGGTAGAGAGATGGCAGAGTGCAGCGACACAGATCATGTGGGAGCATAGTATGTGGTAAGGCTATCTTAGCTGGGAATCCTCGGGTGATTCTCAGACTCTCTTAAGACATCAGTTTTATTTCTTTTGTTTTTTGTGTATGGGACAGGGTTTTGCTATATTGCTTAGGGTGGCCCTAAACTCCTGGGTTCAAATGACAGTCCTACCCCAGACTCCTTAGTAGCTGGGACTATAGGCACATGACACCTTACTGGGCTTCAGTTGTCACATCTGACCTTAGAGAGGGTTATTGGGATTACCTAATGAGCTGGGGGGGGGGGGGCGTGTTGTTTTTGTGATGATAAGGATTGCACCATGTGATCTCTCAACTGACCTATATCCCCAGCTCTTTTTACTTTTTTTTTTCTTTTCTTTTCTTTTTTTCTGGTACTAGGGATCGAACTCACAACCGCCTGCTTGCAAGGCAGGTGCTTATGCCGCTGAGCTAAATCCCCAGTCCCTTTTTACTTTTTTTTTACCCTTTTTGGGACAGGATCTTGCTAAATTACCCAGGCTTGGATTGAATTTGCCATCCTCTTGCCTCAGCTTCTCAGAGTTCTGGGATTATAAGCATGCCCTGTCATGCCAGGGTTAATGAGCTGATTTAAGTAAAAGGTGTCTTTTCCCAGTGCTAAGTATAGTTGATTTTGAGACCAGGTTTCCTGGAAGCACACCAGACAAGCTGACCACCTTCTTTGGTCCCCTAGGATGAGGGCTCCTTCCACCTGAAAGATACAGCCAAGGCTCTGCTGAGGAGCCTGGGCAGCCAGGCTGGCCCAACCCTGGGCTGGAGGGACACCTGGGCCTTCGTGGGACGCAAAGGAGGTGCCATCAGCAGAGGCTGCCATCCTGTAGTATCAAGGGAGGAGCGGGAACCCAGGAGAGGGGGTGGGGTGGGCTGGGGTGTGGGGACATAGGAGTCAGGGGCAGTGAATTGCATGACAGTAGGCAGGGACATGGGAAGAAGCCACCAAACTGAAATCTGGGACCCTGTTATCCCTCACTGCTGCCCCCTTCCAGGTCCTGTCCTTGGGGAGAAGCATTCTAAGTCACCTGCTCTCTCCTCCTGGGGAGACCCGGTCCTGCTGAAGACAGATGTGCCCCTGAGCTCGGCTGAAGGTAGGCTAGTGGGGCTGGGCTCTGGCACAGGGACTGGGCATTTGGAGCTTCTCTGTCCAGCTGTTATTCCCTTGACCCTGTGCTTGGGCCTTCCAGATCAAGCTTGTCTCAGCCTCCCTTCTGTCAACTCATCCCCTCACAGATGCAGAGTGCCACTGGGCAGACACAGAGCTTAACCGCCGCCGCCGGCGTTTCTGCAGCAAAGTTGAGGGCTATGGGAGTGTGTGCAGCTGCAAGGACCCCACACCCATTGAGTTCAGCCCTGACCCAGTGAGTTCAGCCTCAGGAGTGTGGTTTGGACTCATTCCTATGGGATGTGTGCAGCTATGGGAGTGTGTGCAGCTGCAGGGGACCCCCAAGAAGGACTTAGCCCGGCTTTCGCTTCCCCAATCTGAGTGGAAAGTAGATGCTGAAGATTTTTTTTTTTTTTTTGTCTTTTTAATTTTTTTTTTTTAACTTTTTATCAGTACTGGGGATCGAACTCACGACCACCTGCTTGCAAGGCAGGTGCTTATGCCGCTGAGCTAAATCCCGAGCCCTGATGCTGAAGATTTATACTGAGCTGCACAAAACAGGATGAAAATAAGGGGCAGCCATGAAAACAAGGGAATCCAGAATAAGAAAGACTCTGTGACCAGGCATAGTGGTCCATGTCTGTCATCTCAGCACTCAAGAGTAAAACAGAAGGATCCTTGTGAGTTCAAGGTCAGCCTGGGCTACAAAGGGAGCTCATGGCCAACCTGAACTATGTAGTGAAACTATCACAAAAAGACCTTTTTGCCCTTTTTTTTAAAATTTTTTTTTTTTTTTTTGTCTTTTTCATTTTTTTACCGGTACCAGGGATCGAACTCAGGACTGCCTGCTTGCAAGGCAGGCACTTATGCTGCTGAGCTAAAACCCAGCCCCTTTTGCCCATTTTTTTTCTGCTTTGGAGTCCGTCACTACACCAAGAGCTCTTCCCTAAGTGGGGATTCTAGTTCGAAGAGGGGATAAGGCAAGAGCTAAAAGGTGTTTTCTCACAGCTTCCAGATAATAAGGTCCTCAATGTACCTGTGGCTGTCATTGCAGCAAATCGACCCAATTACTTGTACAGGTGAGCCTGAGTACAGGAGGGTGCTTAACAAGGCAGGGAGGGGTGCCTAGCTCATCTTCCTGCAGGAGGAACACCTCCAGGGGGTGGAGAGAAAACAGGTTCTAGACCCATTCATCTGTGTAGAAACCATGCCTTATGAAGAATCTGAGCCCATTTATAAACATGGGAGCTCTGAGTTGGAAGACAGAGAGGCTCTAATTTATCTCTGGTCTCCCTAGGATGCTGCGCTCTCTACTGTCAGCCCAAGGGGTGTCTCCACACATGATCACGGTTTTCATCGATGGCTACTATGAAGTGAGTAGGGTTGGGGTCATTGGGAGGACGCAACCACTGAGGATGGACAAAGGTGACAGTCCAAATGAGGACTGTGAAATGTGAGGGGCTTGGCATGTGGGCACCTGCAGGGGGGCAGGTGGGAGAGGTGGCCTCAGGTGATGATTAGTGGCTATACTCCCCCAGGAACCCATGGATGTGGTGGCGCTGTTTGGTCTGAGGGGCATCCAGCACACTCCCATTAGCATCAAGAACGCCCGTGTGTCTCAGGTACTGCCTAGGCAAGAATGAAAAGGGCAGATGTCTGGCTTTGCCCTCCACCCCAAGGCTCATGTGCCCTTTTCCATTCCCCACCCAGCACTACAAGGCCAGCCTCACTGCCACTTTCAATCTGTTTCCGGTGAGTACTCAGGATGCAGCTTGTGGGCCTGGAGAGATGTGGGCTAGTCCTGTTACATAGCAAGCTTCTCCCTTTATCAGGCTGTCACTTCTTATATGGAAACAGGAGTAATAGTGCCTGTGATGGGGTGGGGGGTGGGGGGAGGTAGGTTGGGGGCACCCAGGATGGGAATGACCCCCTTGGGATACCAATGTCTCTCTTTCCCTTCAGGAAGCCAAGTTTGCTGTGGTTCTGGAAGAGGACCTCGACATTGCTGTGGATTTTTTTAGGTGAATGACCCCAGTGCATTAGTACCCATAAACCCCTCTGAGCTCTGCTTGACTGGGTCTCTAGGGAAGATGGTGGGAAGGTGTCTTTGAGAGCTTTCTGGAGGAAGTGAGCTCAGAAGTAGAGGAAGCCTGAGCCAAGGTAGGCAGGCAGATGTTGTGGCTAGGGTAACAGAGAAAGGCTAAATGGAGATGATGAGGATTAGAGGAGAGGAGGCTTATTTCCTGAGTCCCAGCTACAGCTCCTCCAGTTGTCCCATGTGTGTGACTGGCTTTGTCCTTGCTTCTGTCTGAACTCTTGGACCTGGCTTTCTCAGTTTCTTGAGCCAGTCCATCCACCTGCTGGAGGAAGATGACAGCTTATACTGCATCTCTGCCTGGAATGACCAGGTAGGCTGGGTGACTAGGGATTTGCCAGTGGGTAGCTTATAGAGGTCTCTAGAGCTAATGTTTCTCACAATGGTCCCTTGTCCCCAGGGATATGAACACACAGCTGAGGATCCAGCACTACTGTATCGTGTAGAGACCATGCCTGGGCTGGGTTGGGTGCTTAGGAAGTCCTTATACAAGGAAGAGCTTGAGCCCAAGTGGCCCACACCGGAAAAGGTACCTGGTGGGGAAGGGCAAGTGGGCTGGAGTCCCCTACCAACCTAGATTTCAACCTTCAAAAGCCCCCATGTCCCCCAGCTCTGGGACTGGGACATATGGATGAGGATGCCCGAACAGCGCCGGGGCCGAGAGTGCATCATCCCAGATGTCTCCCGATCCTACCACTTTGGTATTGTTGGCCTCAACATGAATGGCTACTTTCATGTAAGTGGGATCCGGGGAGGCGGGGCACAGTACCGCACAGTGGTCAAGGATATGGATCCTGCCCAGGTGCTGTCACTTACTAGTACTGTCTCAGGAAAATTATTACACTTTTTTGTCTCAACTTATTTATCTATAAGAAGGATACCTACCCCAAAGGATTATGAGGTTTAAGTTGATTAAATATATATAATTATATGTATCTGTGCTCCAAGCAGTACATCCTGCAAGCTTTGTCCTCTCCTGTCCTTATAAATGGAGTAGGGGAGAGGGTCCTCAGCTGGAAATGAACAGGGAGGTCCCCAGATGCCCACCTCTGCCTGATTGTGTGTTGGGGGGCCACTCCCTCCCCAGCTACAGCATGGGGCCCTTGAGACAGCAAGCTCAAGGAATGGATCTAATTTGGAACTTCTGAGCAGCTAGGAAGGTCCTCAGAAAGCAGCTAATACAAGAGTCCTTCGTCTCCCAGAGAGGTCACTCCTAAGTCATGGCAATGTCTTCCCTCCCAACCTAGCATGTCTCCCTGCCTGCCACCTCCCATAAGGCCAGTTCCTTGCTCTAGAACAAGCCCAGGGAGAACCACTGAGGTCAGGGAATACTTCACAGGTCAGCAGCATATGCTGCCATGTGGGCACAAGCTTTCTGTTGCTAGTGGAGTTCAACTGGGCATGGCACACCTGTAATGTCAGCATTCTGGAGGCTGAGACAGGAGGATTGCCATAAGTCTGAAGCTACATAGTTCAAAGCCAGTCTGAACTACATAGCAAGACCCTGTCTCAAAAAAACAGTAACAAAAAATAGTGAAGGTTCCTATTAAACCTACTAAGAGTTTGCCAAGGATGCTACAAAAGGAGGGTCAGGAAGACATCAGATATGATCCAGGACTAGAACTTCATTTGTAGATATGCAGACAGGAATGTGTTAGTGAGCGGGTGTGGGCCAGGTACACGAGGCCCTGATATACATTGTCATGCCCCCTGCAGGAAGCCTACTTCAAGAAGCACAAGTTCAATACAGTTCCAAGTGTCCAACTCCAGAATGTGGACAGGTAGAGTGGCAAATGGGGCCAGACGGAGGATGTGGGGAAGACTTTAGACCTGGTTCTCAGCACTCCTTTGAATCCCAAGGCCTATGTTTACTTTAGCCCTGCTGCCCCATTTTTCCATGTGATCCTTGCCCTGCCTACTGCTACCCATGGGATCTGTGTGCCTGCCCCACTCCCCTAACTCATGTCTCCCTCTCCTTCAGTCTGAAGAAAGATGCTTATGAAGTGGAAATTCACAGGTTACTCAGGTATGGCCTAGGACGCTTGGGATGTGTGGTAGGGAGTAAGGAGTCAAATACTGGTTCTTGGCTTTGTAAATTATGAGACCCTGTGCAAAATGAAAACCAGGGTTTCTAGTTCAGACATTACTAAGAATTTCAATATGGCAATAGCAAAGCATTAACGTAAGCTGAGGGCCTTGGGTGACACACTGAATTGTGGCCTACGTTGGGCTTACCCCTTTACCCTCCACTGCAGTGAGGCTGAAGTTCTGGACCACACCAAGTACCCTTGTGAAGACTCCTTTGTGCCAGACACAGAGGGCCACATCTATGTGGCATTCATCCAAATGGAAAAAGAAGATGACTTTACCACCTGGACCCAGCTTGCCAAGGTACCTCAATACCCACCCCACCGCAGAAGCATCCCCACTCCACATGGCCTGAGATGCAGGTTCACCCTCAGAACCTCCTCATGCTCTCAGAATCCTTCTAGGCCCTTTGTCTGAATTCATGTTTCTGAAGGTACTGCCATTTGCAGATTGAGATGACTGCTGAATTCTCAGTGGTCTCTTTCCACAGTTCCCTGACCCTGCCCCCCAATCTCTGCCTTACCCCTGCCAGTGCCTCCATATCTGGGACCTGGATGTGCGCGGCAACCACAAGGGTCTATGGAGATTATTTCGGAAGAAGAACCACTTCCTGGTGGTGGGGGTCCCAGCCTCTCCCTACTCGTGAGGACCTTTTTTTATTCTGGTAGATGGGAGCCTAGTGGGACTAAGGGTTGTAGCTAAGGACCTCTTTCCTGTGTTTAATTGTTATGTGTCTTTTAGAGTGAAGAAGCCACCATCGGTCATCCCGATATACCTGGAGCCACCTCCAAAGGAGGAGGGAGCCCCAGGAGCTGCAGAACAGACATGAGACCTTGTCCAGAACTCTGCAGGGCTGGGTACTGTGTACCCCTAGGCAGGCTAGCCCTTCACCCAATCCTGTAGGATTTTATAGATGCTGGTAGGGACTGGGGCTGGTTTGTTTTTAACATGAGACTTAATTACTAACTCTTAAGGGGAAGGTTCCTTGCTCCAACACCCTGCTTTGTGAGTTTAAGGTCTATTTATTTACTTCCATGTTGGAGAAGGGCAGAATACCTAGGAATCTCTGGGATACCTAGGCAACAGATCAAGCCCCTTTTGTACACCCCCTCCTACAGCCTGGCTACAGAATCTAATCTATTTATTGACTGTCCTGAGGGCCTTGATTCCTTTCTGGGCTGGAATGCTGGCCTGAGGGTGGGGCTGGCTCTTACTCAGGAAACTGCTGTGCCCAACCCACAGACAGGCCCAGCTGGGACATTTGTGCTGACACAGACTCACTCAGAGACCCATACACACTGGACCAGGCCTCCTTTCAGCCTCTTCTTTGTCCAGATTTCCAAAGCTGGATAAGGTGGTCATTGATTAAAAAAAGGAGAAAATCTCTGGTGGTATGTCTTGTGATTGTAATTTTAGGGGGAAGGGATTAGAAGGAGGGAGAGAAACATCTGGATGGATGCTTTTTTCCTTTCTTTCAGGATTTATTTTCCTTTTGGGTACATTTATTTGGCCACCAGGGGATGCCCAAGTCTCAAGCTTTAAAGTTTTTCCCCAGGCTCTACCCAACCTAAGACCACTAGCTCCACCCTGATTCCTTTCTGGGCTGGGTTGCTGCCACCCTACCAGGCTTTCTCACTGTTTAATTGTCCATTGGTTCCTGGTTTATCTGGACCAGGTACCTATCCCCATATAGAGAGCAGGGAGGGCAGAAGGGATCCTGAGGGCGGGGGATAGGACCTAGAGTATGGCGGCCATTGGGTCTTGTGGAGATGATTTTGTGGCAGGCAGGGGGCTAGGACTACACTGCAGGTTTAGGAGCAAAGGTGTTTGTGGCCCTGGAGTCACTTTGTATGTAGAATGCCATATGTGGGCATTTATCTTTCTTTTTTTTCCTGGGCATTTTTCTAAAGCAGAGGGCCAGGGTTTTCATGAAATTCTCAGATAACCATGTTTGCAACAGAGCATAGGAAGATCTGAGTTAAATGTTCACCAGAGAATAGATGGGATTGTCCAGAGGGTAAGACAGTCCAAGAAAGGGGACCATGAGATTTAAAGGACTTGTGGACTTAGGATGAGGATCTGAGTGTAGAATTTCTATTGAGAAAGGGTCTGGGAGTATAAGGCTTTGGCCAAGAAGGCAGGAACTTACTTGAATTCCTGCGCTGGTGTCTGTTCTTTGTTCTTGCTACCCTAACCAGAGCCTGGAGCTCAGCTTGGCAAAGGCATCAGTGGTGTATGGCTTGGATGTTTCTCACCATGCTAACGCCTTTGAGATAGTGTTTGCAGTAGCAAAATAGCCAAGTTGAAAATCAGCCCACACTGAGGTGGAAGCCCGCCCTGGGTAAACAAATCCCTTGCAGCTTCCACACAGCACCTGCACAAGGCAGGGGGTATAGTGGAGCCTGAGGTGATCTGTTCCTCAGTCCACCCAGCACCCCAGCAGGCTCTTTGTCTCACCTTAAAACTGGCTCTGTGGCCCTAAGTCAGCCCCTTTCTGGGCTCAGCAGTTCTGTATTGCCCTGCAGAAGTTCAGGAAGACAGATGTAGTGGTCCAGGGGAAGCAAGGCTGGGCTTTACTCAAAGCAGGCGCCACATCCTCCTGCCATAGCCTTCCTCAATCACTCCTGGTTTGACAGCGTTCAGGTCTACCTTGGACATTCTAGTCAGGTACTCATTCAAGTAAAACTATCACCATGGCCAGAACTGAACTATGCTGCAGAGTCAGTTGGGTCTGAATCTAGGCTAAATTTCTTTACTGAAGGTTTGATACTTGGGAAAATGACTTGACCTTTCTATGCCCTGGTTTCCTAACCTGAAGCATAGCAGTAATTAAGATGAGATTAGTCTTTTTTTTTTTTTCCATTTTCTTTTTTGTCTTTTTCGTTTTTATCAGTACCAGGGATCGAACTCACGACTGCCTGCTTGCAAGGCAGGTGCTTATGCCACTGAGCTAAATCCCCAGCCCCAAGATGAGATTAGTCTTTAGAGACTAGACAGGCCAACACCAAAGAATAAATGAAGTTCTAAGATCCTGAAGAAGGGGCTTTGCCTAAGTTGGTAGGCACCATGAACCTTCTCATGGGAGCTCTTTTCCATTAACTTGATAATGATTATAGTCTCCTCCCCGACTTGGGCACCAGCTTGTTAATTTCATAGCTTTCCAGTCCAGTGACCCCACCTAGGAGGGGGAAGTTTCAGGCCAAAGTCCTCCATGCTCTAAGGAGGCCCTCTGGCCTAGAAGTAACTTCCTTGGTCCCTTCCAGACCATCCCTCCTAGGCCTCTTCCTAGCTCTATAAATCCCACTTCACTTCACCTGGCTTCTAAGAGGAGGTTTGTGTCACCAGCCCCACAGGAAATCCAAGGGCAGTTTACGCAATGTGGACCCCTCTCCTCATGGATACAGAGTTCAAATAGAAACTTTTTTTTATTAGTTTATAAGACTTGAAGTGCTTTCTATACATCTGCCTTATGGCTCTTCCAATTTTGAATGTGCTCATCATATAAATTGCCTTTCATTTCCAGCAGAATACAGGGATCATCAAGAGCTCCCATTGGCTTAGCGGGGTGTCATGGGCTGAAGAAACAGATGGAAGGATGGCCAGAAGAACTGGCTTCATTAGAATCTCTAGATCAGGTGGGCCTCAACCCCAGCAATAGAAGGAAAGGTCAGCCACAGCCTAAATGGGTTGGACCCTACTCAGCTCCAAGACTGGAGCAACAAGGACAAGTCTGTTGCACCCCCATCCCCACCCCCCGCCCCGTGATCACTGCTCCTTGATCCAGGGTGCTTCTTTCCAGTTCTCATGTAGCAGAGGCAGAAGCAGACTTCAGATTGCAGTACAGGTACAAGGATACAATCATGGCAGCCAGCTGATGAGGGATGGACAGATGGATGAGAGGACATGATTGGAACCCTCTAGTAAGATGCATCCCAGATGGCCTACATGAAGCTCTGTTAAAAGTCTGACTTTTGGGCTGGGAGTATAGCTCAGTGGGCTTAGCATGTGCAAGGGGCCCTGAATTCAATCCCCAGCACCAAAAAAGTCTGTCTTCAGAGAGGCCTCAGAGATGAGTCTAGAAGCCCAGGTATGGTGGCAGTTGATACCCCAGTCCCAACCTTCCTGTCAGCTTACCTCTAGGGCCCCAATGCCAGCTGCCACACCACCCACAGTGACTGCGTTGACTCGGATGTTATACAGAAGCTGTTTGAAGCAACCCTTGGGAGACAGGAGACAACATCTATAGTTGGCAGCTGTCCTACTCATTTACCATTCTAAGGCCATTAAGCGGTCCCCACCCTTCTATACCGGTTCACACCTCAACATTACTGGCTTCAGCTTCGCTCATGTCACAGTGAGTTGTATTGTACTTGCAACAGAATGAAGGGAAGGAGTTATGCTCTGTGAAGTAGGGTGAACCCACAAAATCTGTGTAGTTCGTGAAGCCACAGCACTTGAGCTGGAGAGAGGCAAGGTGGGTGATCAGTAGGGCCTTGCTGCTTTCTTTCTGCCCTCCACCCCTGCCCCGGCCCACCTTACCCCTTCCATGGTGGAATTCCACACTTGAGTGAAGTCCTTCTGAGAGCCATAGTCTTTCTTGATGGTAGACACTGCCAGCATCTTCAGGAACTCCTCAGCCTGGGTGGGGCAGGCCAGTTGTTTAGGGACCGGTGGGGAAGATGGTCTTTCCCAGATCACAGCCCATTTCCAGGCTATGCCCAGTCTTCCTCCCTTATCTCCCCCCAGGCTCTCACCAATGTGGTATACACCAAAGCGACCACAGCAGCTGCAACCTCAGCAATAAAGATGAGGAGGAGGATGAAGAAGAACTAAGTGGAGAATAGGGATCTGGTTTTAGGAAAAGTTTCCTGTGCTCTCCTCCCCCAGCCCACCCAACCCTCCCTATAAATGAGGCAGGGAACCCTTCTGCTGAGACCCTCCAGAGTCCAAAGTAGTGTTTTGGGATTCCCCTGGGCTTGGTATCAAAGGTGGGGGGACCCTTGGTCATGGGCCTGTGGAGCTGCGTCTGACACACCATCATGAGCGCGCACTTGTTCTCAGACAGAGCACCGTAGCAGCCCAGGAAACCAAGAACAAAGAGCACAACACCAGCTGCGATGAGGAAGTAGCCCACGTTGACGAACTGCATGGCACTGGACGACACTGGCCCAAAGATCTTCATGAAGGATGACCCGTCAACTGATACCCAGATTCCCACAGCCAACAGGGCCGCACCACAGAGCTGAGGACAGAGAAGTTAGGCAGGCTTTGAAACAGTGCTGACAATCTCGCCATCATCCACTTAACTCAGGAGGATGGGAGCTAAGAAGCTTCTGCATTCCTTGGCTGGAGAATTTTACAACCTGTTATATAGGGAGGGAAATACACTTTAGTGCCAGAACCATGACAGCTGCGACACCCATAGCCAGCACTAGGCTCACACCTAACTAGAAACTAGATATAAATGAGATCAGTGTTTCCAGAAATGTCCAAAGGGTAGGGCTAAAACATAGCTCAGTGGCACAAGCACTTGCCTGGCAAGTGCAAGGTCATGGAGTTTAATGCCTAGTACAAAAAACAAAACAAAACAAAAAACCACAGGGTAGGGGCTGGGGATTTAGCTCAGCGGCATAAGCACCTGCCTTGCAAGCAGGCGGTCGTGAGTTCGATCCCCGGTACGGATAAAAATGAAAAAGACAAAAAACAACAACAACAAAACCACAGGGTAGAAGGAAGGACAAGACTGTCCCTGTTTCTAGGGTCCTGGCACACACATGACTGGGAGTGAAAACGGCAGGTGAGGGTAGCGTGTGTCATTTCCTTTCTGGACTTTGGGTGCCTGGAACACCTCTGATCTCTGACAGACAGAAACAGGAGTGGCAGTTTTGAGCAAGTACGACATCACCACAGTAACAGAGACAGGGCTGAAGTTTATACCTGCTCCAACCTTGAAGAGGATTGACATTGAGAAGTTTCACTCACTTTGACCCCCAGCTGGCTCAGCTTTGAAATCAGAGGCCAGACCTCCTGCTCCTCACCGACCTAGACTTCCTTGCCTCACAAATGAAACTGAGGCAACAGAGTGGGAACACAGCCAGAGCAGCTCTTAGAAGCTCATTAGTTCAACACTAAGCCTCTGGCAAGAGTAATGGGTTATAAGGGGGTATCCCAGGGGCAACTGGTTCCCCAGTAAGTGCAGCTCAGATTGGAGCTGGCCCAGTTACAAAGGAAGTCCTGAAGCTCTGATGGGGTCAGGCCCTCCTCAGTTTTCACAGTTCTTAGGGCAAGGCCTTGCTGACCCAGGGCTTCAGTGGATAAATCAGCCTAATACCAACTTGGTGCCCAGTTTCCAGTTTCCAGTTATAGAAACCCAGGCTAGAATTGGGGATATGGTGGGAGACTGTGGCTGGATCTCAGGTATGTTTGCTTAAGACCAAAGCTGGGCTTGTAGCCTGCAGGGTCAAATTTCAAGGAGCCTGCCTTCTGCCCTACCCTGCTCTGGAGAGCCTGGGTAGGCCTGGGCAACAGAGGGCCTGGGCAAACAGGATTTGCCTTTAACCCCTTCAGGCCAGAGCTCCTGTTCTCCATATTTCTGGAATCCCATCGTTCCCTCCAGACATAAATAAAAACTAATTTCTTACACCCAAAGGAAGCCCAAAGTACAGACTACACTGGAGTGAGAGTGTACTCACCCTAGCCTATCATGCCAAACCATACTCCGAATCAATTTACACACCACATCTCTGTCCCTTACCTTTTAGTCACTGTAACTCACTTAATGTGGCTCCAAGTTCTTTGGTGACATCCTGTGCTAAACCCAGTGACTACTTCAGAGGTCTTGTCTCCTAGATCTCTCTGCCCTCTTGTTCTTGTTTGCCCTCTGTCCATTACTGTTCCTGCTCCATCTCCTTCATGGTAACTGGATTTTGTTTTGTTTTGTTTATCCCTAACAATCCAAGTTTCCCAGATTACCTTTCCTGAGTGCTCTCACATACTCCTGTGACTTCATGGGCCACTTGTGGATAACTGGCCAGCTCCAATCTGAGCTGCACTTCCACTGGGGAACCAGTTGCCTTTGGGATACCCCCTTATAACCCTTGTTACTCTTGCCAGAGACATGGGCATCATCTCTAATACCTCTGACTTCCCTGTCTTTTCTTCCATCCGTCAGCCACCATCCTAGGGCTTTGTCATTTGTCTAGCTTGTCCATTTCTCCTTATCTCTGCCTCTATCTTCACGGTTTATGCCTCATTGCCTGCTTCTCTTACACACCCTATGCAGTCTGTTCCTGGTTTTTTGAGCAATATCAAGTTTCACTATGTGCTTTATAGCTCCTCCACCCAATGCAAATTTACAGTTTCAGGTATTTCCTCCAGGAAGTATTTTCTCACAGGGTTTAAACCCCTCCTCTAGGTTCCCTTAGCCTTCTGTTGAAATCAGGCATACCACATTGCAATCTACTGTCTACCTGGACCTGAGATCCTGGAAAGCAGAGAACATCTTTCTTACCTGCCACCCCAATACCTAGCACAAAGTCTTAATCCATGAATGTTTTGTTTTTGTTTCTGTTTGGGGTTCATGGGACTCAAACCTAAGACCTCACAAATGCTAGGCAAGTAAGGTACCACTGAGCTACATTCTTGGCCCCACCAATAAATGGATGTTGAATGAATAAGGGTATCTGAGGCAGAGCCTTTGCTCCTAGGAGACATAGGCCCTCTATCTTTTCAACTCCCACTCATACAGAGGGCCACTAAATTGTCTTCTACACTAGGTGAACTTAGGCAAACACTTTCCCCCAGTACCTATAAAAAGAGGAAATCCTTCCTGTTAGCTTGCCCACGCTTGGGCCTTAAGCCTGAGCTGAGACTTCCTAGAAGAGAAGGAACACCTGAACCAAAGTTTTTCAACCCCACTTCCCACAGCGTGGCAACCTCACTGCTACTAGGACCAGAAATCAGTATTTGGATCCCACTCGGCAGTCAGAGGAGAAAACTTGCTGGGCACAATCTGGGCATAGTAGTTATCTACTCTGCAGGCTCTGCTCCTTAGGGAACCGCACAGATAGCATATTTTTTGTACTTACAAAGATGACCATATTGAAGATGATCGTCACAGTCTTAATGAAGCTGAAGCACTGCATGGTGGATCCTGGGAGGCAGACAGGTGGGAGTTAGAGCCTTGCCTACCCTGACAGCACCATACCTGGGCTGACCCCACCAGATCCCAGTATCCTGGACCTAGATCTCATCAACCTTCCTTTACACCTGGACTCTGACACTGGAGGACTTTCCTCAGTTCCCACCCCAACACTTGTAGCAACTGTACTACTCAGACCCTCTACCCGCACCTGACACTGAGATCCTAACACCTCAAGTTCAGGCTCAGGCAGTGCAAGCCTGACACCCACACTTCAGATCACCCCATCCTTTTTCCTGACATCTGTGCATCCTGGGCTCCTCCCCAGACCAATTCCAACCCATCCAAGACCCTCCCCATAGGCCTTCCAGCTCCTCAACCTGTTTCCAGATTGATACCATTTTATAGAACCTTCCTATCTTAAGTCATCACCTGTTCAGGGTTCTTGGCAGTGAGTTCTGAGAGGGATCTGCTAAGGCACAACAGCTTGCAGGAGGTGTTGCTCAGGAGTCAGACAGACGGGCAGGTTGGCACTCTGCTCCACTGCTCACCTGCAGGTGGGGAAGGCTCTTTAAAAGCCTCCTTTGCCCGCCCTCGGGCCCCACCCATGGCCAGGCAGCCTCCCCTTGTCCCTGCTGCCCTCTGCTGCTTGGAGATGGAGTTCTACCACCACAGAGCAACAGGCTGGGGCCTGGAGATGTCACCCATGGGCTGTGCTTCTCTGATCTGAAAGAGGAAAAGTATGGGGCTGAGGCAGGTGGAGCCCAGAACTTCCATGTGTCCTTCACACAACAGTGCACATATGCTTCCTCCCCTCCATCTGCTACTACACTACCTAAGGGTTCTTTGTGCTCACTGGCACACACACATGTGCCTGGCTGCCATCCATGTTTACACATCAAACACACAGTCACATACATAAACATCTACTGGTGCTTCTGTACCACTGATGTGTACCTATGCGCGCGCGCGCGCGCACACACACACACACACACACACACACACACACACACACACATTTCAAGAAAATGACTCAAGATTTGGCAGTTTTTGCCTTCTCCTCTGAATAACAAATGGTTTCTAGTCCTCTTCCTTCCACGAACCTCAAATTTCCCTTTTTTCTTCCCTTAGTCCTTTCTCTTCTTTTTGCTCTACATTTTTTTTTTTTTTTTTGCCTCCTCCCCACTCCACTTTTCTTTCCCTTTAGCACTCAGGGCACACCCTTTTCCTTTCTGCCAGCAGGGGGCACCATGGTTCCACAAAGCAGTCGCCCTAGTTCCAAGGCTCGATGCTTCCCTTCTCACCAACTCTTGGGGCTGTAAACTTCCCAGGTTGCCACTGGCTGTCCAGTTCTTTAGACAGGTGCTTGAATCCCTGCTTCTTTCATTTCTTAGCTGTGTGACTCTCCGAGGCATTTCTTAGACCTGTTTTTAAACCTCTATTTCCTGGTCTGTAGGACAGAATAGTTATGGGGTTTTAAAATGAGATTTTCTTCCTGCTGTGGGACATAAGGGAATGTGCACAGGGTGAAGTCAGAGGGAAATAGTCACAACCAGAGCAGATGTGGGGAGGAGGAAGTGGCTTGTATATTTTATTTACTTATTTTTGTGCTGTTGGGAAGTGAAGCCAAGTCCTTGCACATTCTAAGCAAGGATTCTACCATTGAACTACACCCCCAGCACTGAGGAAATGTATTCTTAGTTTTTCGTTTGTTTGTTTGTTTGTTTTTGAAGGAGGATGCTACAGAAGCACAAGAGAGAGTAATACTGCAGAATGTAGTCCACGGTCCAGGGCCATGATGCATGTCAATAACCCTGCTACTCTGGAGGTTGAGGTAGGAGTATCACTTGAGTCTCCAGATCAGGACTAGCCTGGACAACACTATGAGACCTTGTCTCAAAAAAAAAAAAAAAAAAAAATTACAGTCTGTACTACTAATAAAGATCATGCTTAAAATGCATCACACATATTCTTTTTTATTCCTTCTTCACCATAACTCTAAAATACTTTCTTTTTAATTTCCGTTTTGAATGTAGGGAAATGAAAACACATTAAGTTAAATACTTGACATAATCACATGACCCTCTACCCATACTGGGAATTGAACTCAGGCAGGTATTTGTGCTACTGAGCTATATCCCTGGACCAATCACATGCCTTATAAATGGTAAATTCTGGTTCAACTTGTCAGTCTGACACCAGGGTCCATGTTATGTGTGCGTGTGTGTACACACACACACACACACACACACACACACCCATACCATATTGGACACTAAACCCAGGGCCTTTGCTCTGAGTTACATCCCTGACCTTTTTATTTGTTTGTTTCCTTATGTTAAGACAGGGCGTTGCTAAGTCACTAAGTTGCCCAGGCTGAGCTTGAATTTGCAGCCCTTGTGTTTTAGCTTCCCAGAATGCTAGGGTTACAGGTTTGTACTCCCCCACACCCAGCCTACAGGCCATGTCTTTTTACCACTCATTGATGGAGTCTCTAAAAAAGCAGGGGAGGAAGCCTTGGTCCAGGACCTGATAAAGCGGACCACAGTACAGGGAGGCTCGCAGGGGGATAGTGGTTAACAGTAGGTCATATTTTCATACTGTGATGGCAAGAGTAGAAGTTGGAGTGGAGGAAGTAAGGAACCAGAGTGGGGCCTAGGGCCCTGTCTCATCTTCCAGCAGGTTCCTGCAGAGCAATAGGCAGAGATCAGAAAGGGACAGAGGAAGGAATAGAAGAGGGCGTTAAGGGGTTGAGGGAAAAAGGGCAAGTCCAATGTCCTTCAGCTCAGTGCAATACAGGGCGGAGCCACTAACTCTCCTATCTTTTTTTTTTTTGTTTTTGTCTTTTTCTTTTTTCCTGTACCAGGGATCGAACTCACGATCGCCTGCTTGCAAGGCAGGTGCTTATGCCGCTGAGCTAAATCCCCAGCCCCAACTCTCCTATCTTGTACAAGAAAGGTGATGAACCCAGGATTAGCACCTCTTACATCCCTACCTACCCTAATTGTGCCCGTGGTTTTACCGTTCATCTCAGAATGAACTGAGATCACATCCCATTCATCTGTCCCTGTTGCCCAACACATCTGAAGCAGCTGCTGAATATTTGCTGAGTGAGTGAATGAGCAGAGTAACAAGAGATAAATACTTGGCAATTACTCATGGTGGTGCATATCTGTAATCCCACCGAGGCTGGGGTGGGAGGATTGAGAGTTTGATGCCAGCCTTAGCAGCGTAATAACTTCAAAATGTTTTAAAAGCAGCCAGAGTTGTAGCTCAATGTTGAGTACTTATCTAGCATGAGGAAGTCCCTGGGTTTGGTACCACAAACAGACAAACACGATAAATACTGTTTTGTTTTTGTTTTTAGTACTGGGGATTAAACTCATGACCTCACGCTTGCAAGGCAGGCCCTTATGCTGCTGAGCTAAACCTCTGGCCCAATACTATGTTTTTAAACCTTACCATCATCATTGTTTTTTTTTTTTGAGACAGGGCCTCGCTCTGCAGTTTGGGCTGACCTTAAACTCACTGTGTAGCTTTCATCTCACAGTGATCCTTCTGCCACAGCCTCCTGAGTGCTGGGATGACAGGTGTGTGCCACCACACCTGCCTCAGTTTCCTTATATATTCGACTTCATTCATAGATTCTACATTTGTGAATTTGCTCACTAAAATTTATTTGTCACTCCAAATCAAAAATTTTACCAATTTTGCAGTTATTCAAGGGCAAGTCCAGAGATGTAAAAACTTTGAATCACCCAACACACGTATTTCCAGCTGAGGTTTATTGAACAGACCTGTCTGCCTTCCTATTTCAGTTCTCATCAACAGTTTCTTTTGATGGTCTACTTAGTGCCATATTTTTCACAATTTTGTGTGTTTTTTTGTGTGATTTTGCTGATTCAAGTAGCTCCTGGTTTTAATGTTAAAGTACCATCTAGAGTTCATAAGCACAAGATGTGATGTGGGTGAGAAACATGCGCTCAATAAACTTAACTAAGGCACAGGTTATAGTGTTGTTGCCACAAATTCAATGCGAGTGACTCAATAAGATACCAAATGAGGTGTCTCCACACATAAAACCAGTTTAGGTAGCAACAACTTGGTAAAAATGTGAGCAGAACTTTGCCCAAAACCTGTGAATTTCCCTTAGAAGTAATGGTTTGGTATTTGTGGAACATAGCTACTGGGAAATAAAGAGAATTAACTGCATGTAAATAGTGATAATGATAGAATCTCCTCATAGATTAAATGAGATTGTATTTATAAACTGCTCAACATGTGCCTGGCACATAGTAAGGGCTCAATAAATTAATACTCATGCTTATGAACAAAAAAAAAAAAGAGTGATCTTCCCCAAGAGTTCCTTTTGCCAGGGGGCCAAACAGATTTTCTGGCTCTTGGGCAGGACCCAGTGGAGAGCACTATGAAGAAGCCCGAGCCACAGGGCGGGGCTGGGGGTAAAGAGCAGCCTGGGATTAGTATGTCACAGAGGAGTCAGCTGCCCTGGCCAGCAGCACTCTTTCAGGACACCGCAGAAGCTTCCTGTGCCCATGGGGCCCTTTCACCTGCTCCGTGCCCCTCGGCTTCGGGGCCTGAGTTCCCCGTACCGCAGGTCACGTATGAGCTGCCCGCGGCCCGGCTTTCGCAAGATGTTCAAGTGTAGCCGAAGAAGGTACAGGCAGAAGCTGCAAGGCCCAGCTGCTACCAATGTTGCCACCACGAGCACAGACATCAGTGCCACCCACACTGCCATAACCAGTGTATGGATCCTCTCACCTCAAGGTGAATGGGGGCATAGTGAACAGGTGGACCTGTGTTTTGGTGTGTGTGTGGGGAGGGATGTGAAAGACAGGGACACCGGTTTTTCCCTGTGCTGCTTAGCAACTCTAGAGACAAACTGAAATTTCTGCTCCCAGGCATCTTGAAGGCAGGCATCTCCAAGTGCTTAAAGTGGGTTGGACTGGAAGTCAGTGGCCTGGAGAATTGGGTGAACCCAAGGGCAATGGACCTCCAGAAACTCTGATTCCTTACACACTTTCCTGGGCCTTCTCTCCTCAGGTCTCAGGCCTTGCCGTCAACCTGGGAGCTTTCTCATCCTTTAGGAAGCACAGAAGCTCGGCCTGCTCTGGATCCACATCTCCAAGGGGCTGGAAATGGTGAACATGAAACACAATCATTCTGCTCAAACTGTCTCACTCCATACTGATGTGTTTCCAGCCAACTCTGCCACTGCAAGGGCAGGTCTGGGGCTGAATACTCCTAAGGACAGGCTTCAGTAGCAGCAGCAGGTGTCACACTTCGATAGCAACAGGACAGGACAAGATCAGCAACACATATGCATTTTTGTCCTCTCCTCTTGGTCTGTCCTATGAGACAGAAGTCTTTCCCATCTAACACTACCATCTACCCAGGCTGAAGGGTTTCCATAGACATCTTAAAAACACAGGGAGGCATAGAGAAAGAGAGAGAGAGACAGAGACAGAGACAGAGAGAGAGAACAGAAGACAGAATCCTGTAAATGTTCCAATGTGTGTGTGCCTCTGTTTGCCTGTGATAGTCAGTGTGTACGTGCAGCTCCTCGTGTGTGTTTGAGTGTGTTTGTGACAGGAGATAGGCGTATAAGGCACATGTGACCTAATGTGCCTTTGTGATCCATTGTGCATCTGTGTCTGGCTGTGTCAAGGAGTGTTTGTGAGAGGAACAGAGCCAGAGCTCTGAGCTCTGGCATAGGCTCTCCCGAGAAGAATGAAGGTCAGGAGGGGGATGGGGGCAGCCTGAGGGAAGAGAGGGGGCAGAAGCCTATCACCTCCAGCCCACAGCCATCGTCTCCTGTCCTCCATTCTCCAGGTCAGTGGTTCCAGGATAGGCAGCTGAGCTGAGATGCTTGGGGGCGGGAGAGAGTGAGTTTGAGCCCAGTAAGGGGGGACGGGAGCTGAATCCTCTGGCTTGGGGATTTTCCATTTGGATTTCTTAGTGTATGCTCATATGCTATAGGGTGTAACTGGATTCCTGGCAGGTGTGTCTCCATGGGTGGTGTTGTAGTGGCTGGGAACATTGTGAAGGTCACTGTCTTTTGTATCTGTGCATTGTTTGGTGGTGTCCCCAGTACCTTGAGGGTTGAGAGTAAGAGTGAATCTTGAAACATTTGGACCCCTGAAGTTTAAGAGTCCAGGGTAATATCCTTTGCTGCCTGTAAGAGAGAAATAAATTTTGTCTACCTTTTTTTACTTCAAGGCTTGCTAGAGATTGGGACTCTGAGGAAAGAGAGAGGTGGGGTAGGAATTCACTGCCACATTGTATCCAGACAGTGCTGGGCCCCTTAAGGTTTGGGATTAGGGGTTTGCTGACCATCAAGGTGGCTGGCCAGTGCCCAAAGCCCAAAAAGAAGCCTATACATGAGGGCTGGGAATTTAGCTTAGTGGCATAAGCACCTGCTTGGCAAGTGCAAGGTCATGAATTTGATCCCTGGTACCATAAAAAAGAAAAAAACAATAACAACAAAAAGAAGCCTATACATGTAAATATGCATGACACAGTCCACAGATACATACAGAACTCAAAAACACACAATGCAGCATACACACGCAATAGGCATATGATACAAACAGATATGCACTACAAAAAATGCACAGAACCCCCAGTAATACATATAACAATGCACACATACTCCTACAAATGAACCATACAGACACAAACAGGCATGCATCCAAACAAAATGTGTGTTTATGTGTGTGTGTGTACCTTGTCTTTGATTGTGTATGTGTGGTGTTAAGCTGTGGGAACCTGATGACATCATTGCTGGTGTCTATTTTTAGCTCCATCTACAATGACACTCCTCTGATGCCCTCTCCTCTCCAAGTTCCCAATTTTCTTTCCCCTTTAGGTGCTCAGAGGCAGCAGCTGCCAGAGGGCATCCACCACCTTAGTTTAGGTGGCCCTTTGCCAGAGCTCCCTGCAAGCTGAGTATACTGGGCTCTAGGACCACAGCCATGGCACAGCCTAGCCTGGGTTAGGTGAGCTGACCTGGCTCTCTGCTTTTGCTCTGCAGCTCTGTCTCAGTCCCTAGTGTCTGCAATACACCAGGAGGTACCCGGTTCTGGGGAGAGAGAGGACAATGAGTGAGAAGATGGAGTTCCACGACAGGATCCCATTAGGGCTATACCTCAGTGGGAAACAGACATGAAATACACCACAGGGCACTTCAGGGAATTGTAGCAAGGCATCTGGACACTGGTAACAGGTCTAGGATGATGGGGCTTTTTTTTTCCTCTTCCATCTTTCACAGTAACATAAGGAAATTGTGGTTATCATATAGAAACCAAAGGAAGCACCTTTCACCTTTGCAAAAACACCTCTAAATTTCTACTTGTAATGCTACCTTCTCACACTCAGGCTGCGCTTCCCATAATTGCACCAACTCAACTTGCAGGTGGAGGGCCTCATGCCACTAACATCCCCCTTTCTTTTGGATCTCCAGAAGGCAGGCACTGTTCTCAACTATAGATGAGAAAACCATGGCCCAGTGCTGGCCACACTTCGCAGTACCCAGAGGAGCAGTGCAGGGGAAATGTCATGTAGGTGGAGGAGGAAGTCATGGCACTGGGATGTCTGGCACAGGTGCAGGAGCTCAGGCATGGCTGGGGAAATCAATAGGCGAGGGGGAGGAGGATGGTAGCCCAGGGGTCTGTATGAGGAAGGTCTCCAGCTCCAGGCTGCTTCAGGCAGCCACTGGAAAATCAGGTTTGGCAGCTTCAGCCTTGTGCTAGAGGACTGGAGGAGAAATCCAGACCGATCCTCGGTAGGTGGCAGGAGAGCGGGTATTTTTTAATCCTATGTTTTACCAACCAGCTGGTTGGAGAAGCATTTTAGAATCCTTTTGGAGGGTGGGAAATACAGCTCTGGGCTGAAGCAGGGTCCCAGAGTTACTAGTCCTTATTCTGCACCTGTGCTAATCCCTCGTATGATCCTTGGGAAAAGTCCTGGCCTCTTTCTAGGGCTCAGTGGGACTTCCCGGGAAAGGGTTCTGTAAGATTAGGTTCCCCATCCCCCAACTCCTGCCCTTTGGATTCTTCTGGAAATGTGACTCAGACAGGGAAACACGTAGTCAGAGGGTTGGGGTCACACATGACAGCCTCTGAGGTGCCAGGCTGGATGTCCTTTGTTACTAATGGGTCAATGGCCGGAAGCCAGTTCTAACCTTACAATGCAACACTGGTCACCCCACCCTTACCAGGGCCCCCACTTCCGGCCTCTGTTCCTTCCTCCTCTCTGGGGAAGGCTGCAGGGCTCCCTGGGGAAGAAACCTCCACTTTGCCTTCTCTGGCTCCTTGCCCTGTCCCTTTTTTTTGTTTTTTGTTTTTGGTCTTTTTGAGACAGGGTCTTGCTATGTAGTTCAGGTTGGCCTTCAGCTCACTTTGTAGCTCAGGCTGGTCTTGAACTCACAAAGATCCTCCTGCCTCAGCCTCCTCTGAGTGCTGGAATTATAGGCATGTGCCACCAAGCCCAGATTTCTTGGCCTGTCCTTAACCCTTTCTTTCCTGTTGACCATTTGGCCATTTGGACTGTCCTTTCGCCCCAGGAAAAGTAGAATTCACTCAACCACTTATTTCCTCTATCTCAGCTGACCCAGAGAAATGAACCCAGAGCTGAGATTTGCAACTTTTGGAAATATAAAAACCCTGGCCAATGTTACCATGTCAATGACAAATTCATTAAACAATAAAATATTAGGGGCCGGGGATTTAGCTCAGTGGTATAAGTGCCTGCCTGCAAGCAGTCGTGAGTTTGATCCCCATTACCAAAATAAAATGTTACGAAATTCTGGATACATAAAGTCCACAGTTATGGAATTTAGAATTGTAGCATGGTAGACTCTGAGTTTCAGAAGTTTAGGACCCAAAATGGTGGCATCACCAAATCCCAAATCCCAGAGTTAGAGTATTCTTGAATTGAAAATCTTGAGAAATCAATTAGTGAGAACTACTTATAAGTGAATGTCTAAACTTGGGTACATACAAAGGAGTTTACACAGGAACTCAGAGGGTAGGCAGAAAGCCTGAGTCACAGGAGTTTAGAGTGAAGCCATAAGCCTGCAATGAACCACACAGAAGACAAACCAGGACACATTCCCACTTCCTAAGGATAAGAGACAGGGGTGTGGCAGGTGGAACTTACAGAGTGGCACTGTAAAAACAATACATAACCTAAAGAAAGAATCTTAACTGGGCATGGAGGAATGCACTGCTTGTAGTACTAGGACTCAGAGGCAGGAGGGAGGAGGATTACTTCAGTTCACAAGTTTAGACAACACAGCAAAGCCTTGACTCAAGGGGGAAAAAAAATCATGAAGTAGTTTAATACATACATCAACCCAACAGCTTCAGCTTCCCCATAGTTGGGGTTCACATCAACTAAGGACATTTCCAAAGGTAATGAGACTCTTTAGCATACTGGAGAGCAAGAACGCTTGTCTGGCTCTTTTGGGGGCGGACAGGTACCGGCATACTCCAAGCTTTATTTAGAGGGTGGTTGTTGGGAGAAGCAGACTTCAAAAAAGACACTGAGCCCTAAACTACATGGTACATATCAAAGTCACCCATCAGTGGGGTGCAGAGCCTATGGTGAGGCCATGCGAGGAGACCCTGCTGAGGGTACCTGTGTGGGATGGTCCTGGAGGAGCTGGACATGTATAAAAAAGGAGCCAACCTTGAGGCAAATCCAGATGGGGACCCTTATCTTGTCCCTGGAGCTGGTTACTCAGCAAACAATGGAGATATTTACCTAGTGTTTCTGGGAAACTACTGCAAAGTCAGGAACCTAGAAGGAGCAGTTCCAAAGAGAGGCAAATACCAGGCCCTGCTGGGCATGGGAAATGGTACAATGTCACTCTAAGGTCCTCTTACTCAGCTGCCTGTCTGTCTGTAGACTGCTCACCACCTCTTCGATGACCTCCACTCAAACTATTTGCCTCCCTCTTCTTGCCTCCCGCTGCTCTGCTACTTACCTGCTCTGTGACCTTTGGCAAAGCCTTTCTCTTCTCTGAGCCCGCAAGTATTTTCTGTCTTTTGAAGTCTATAATCGGGTCCTGAGGGCAGCTTTTGGTATTGCCTAGCCCTGGTTTTGTCCAGAGCAGTTTTAGCTTCAGATAGCTCCATATTTAGCTTCTAGAGAAACTGT